GCAGCAGCAGCAGCAGCAGCCGCCACAACAACAAGCACGACAACAAGCACAACAGTTGCAACCACAACAACCACAGTAACCGCAGCAACTGCAACTTCGGCCACACTCGCAACTGCAACCACACCAACAACCGACAATCACCACCACCGCCACCGCCACCACCGCCACCACCACCACCACCACCACCACCACCACCGTCCACCACCACTACGACAACGACAACGACAACAACTAAGAAAACGAACAGCACGATTAGCAACAGCAACAAGAACCTACAAACCGGTCATCACAGGGGTGAGAGTGAAAGGAGGGAAATTGTACTGTTGCACGACAAAGCGGACGAAGAAGTGCAACAGCCATGGTCAGAACCCAAGTGTAAATTTGCAACCATCCAAAGTATGGGTGCATCTTTCTCAGCCTGCCATGATACGGGCTCCCACCTCTTCGCAGCCAGCTCTGCACTCACAGCCTGTTCACAAACGCATCATGATGCAGGACATGCGTTGTTGCAAGTCTTTTTGTGTTGCGCCTCCGCTGTGTCTCCCAGCTTCTTCTGGGCAAGTCCAGCCTTCATGACAGCGCTACACAGGGTCTTTGTGTCTGTGCCAATGAAGAACCGCACGTTTCGAGGCCTCCTGTGCTGCCAAGACCACTTTCAAGGCAACATTGTGGCCCACTTCACGGATCCGACCGGTGCTGGGCAGGACGGAGTCCAGCTCCATGTCTGCCTTGTCCAGAGAGTTGGCCACGGCCTCGGCAGCCTCCATGAAGAGCCGGTCCGGGATGTGGCTCGCTTCACAGCACATGGCGCCGAAGGACATACCAGGGAAAATAAAGAAGTTGTTGACCTGGCCTGGCCAGGGCGAGATGCAGGGAAACACAGCCAAGCCCCCAGGCAAGTCCGTTCTACTCCATGCGACATGCTTTGTGCGAGCCTGGCGCGCGGATCTTGCCCTGCACATTCACGGGCTCGAACTTGGTCCCTGAACCAAAGATTGCCCTGCCACCCGAGAATCTGTAGCAGTCTTCGGCCGTCACTTCGGCCTGTGTACTTGGGTTGGAAAGCGAGAAGATGATTGGTCGGAATGCTCCGCCCTTCGCTGCTTGCACTGCCACCATCTCTTTGATCACTTCCTGGCCCCAGAAGGGTCCCTTTTAGGTCTTTGTTGTACGGGTGCCGCCTTCTTTTGGGTTCCTAAAACCGGACCCGTAACTATCTAAAGAGGCTCGTCCCAGTTCAGTCTGACTTCTACGAGACAAGAAGGGTCCTCTGTAAAGCATCCCGGTGCGCGGCCGACGGCACCCACAAGAACGTCTGGTTTGTGATGCTTGATGATGGAAACCAGGTTGGTCGCGTCGTAGCCTTGCGCAGGTCACGCGCCGAAGTGACAGTATAGTACATCCATGTATACGCACGCCCCTACGTATATGTGTGTGTGTGTGTGTGTGTGGGTGTGTGTGTGGGTGGGTGTGTGTGTGTGTGCGTGTGTGGGTGTGTGCGTGTGCGTGTGGGTGTGGGTGTGTGGGTGTGTGCGTGTGTGCGTGTGCGTGTGCGTGTGGGTGTGGGTGTGTGGGTGTGTGTGTGTGTGTGTGTGTGTGTCTGTGTCTGTGTCTGTGTCTGTGTGTGTGTGTGTGTGTATTTATTTATTTATTTATGTACTTATTTATCTATTGATTAATGACTATGTTTATGTATTCATTTTACTTTACGTTTATACTCATCTGTGTGTATGTATGTAGGTATGTACGCATGCATGTATGCATGCATGCATGTATGTATGTACATGTATGTATGCATGTATGTATGCATGTAAACACATACATACATACATACATACATACATACATACATACATACATACATACATACATACATACGCCCATCCATGCATGCATGCATGCATCCATGCATGCATGCATGCATGCATGCATGCATGCATGCATGGATGCATGGATACATACATTCATAGATATATATATATATATGTGTGTGTGTGTATTATACAGAACTCTAACATATACGGCATGATATACAGAATTACAGAATTATCGTAGAATGGAACGGCATAGTGTGAAAAAGTCCGGAGATGTGCATACAGAAAAATGGGCGTACCAACTTGCGCCAAGGCACCCTTCGGCTCACCAACGCTTGCAACTGATTTCTGCTCGTCATTCTTGAAAGTGCCCTTCTTGCCATCCGCAGATTTCCAAATGACACCTACTGGGCTCGCTGGCGGAAGACGTAGAAATCTCAAAGACATGCCAGAGCTTGCTGCCGGCTTCTTACCCTAAACCCTCAACAGCACTTTCGAGCCGGGACCCTTGGAGTTCGTGACCAGGATCGAGGACGCTGGCACACCGGCTTCCTTCCTGAGAGGGCAGAAGGAGTGGGGGCTTCCTACTGATTACGATTCCTATTACTACTACTCGTTACGAGTTTCAATGGTACAATGAAAGTGTACTATTGTCACTACGTTTTCAGTATTCGATCCCTCCCTCTGGGCAAGCATCAGCATCAAGCTGGCGCTGCCGAGATTGGCTGAACCAGCGCCATGGAATAATAACCGCAGACCTGTAAGCCGCAGTCGAGACTTGCTTGTAGGTTGTAGGCAGCAGACCCCTGCCTTTCAGGTCGGTCAAAAGATCACTGCAGTGGGGCCGGTTCAGCCTTAGAAGCCGACCCCGTGTGAAAATATCGAGCGCATGCCGCAAGCTAGGCATGCATCCCAGGGACTTGATGCCTCCCAAGACTGCAGCTATCGCCACAGAAGCGGTACCCTGAATGTCATCGTTGTATGTCAAGAACTTGGAGCCTCGACAGGTTCGGGGCCGTCGCAAAAGCATCTGAATTCGCCCCGTGAAGCTTGCAAAAAGCTTACACTGCTGCCAAAGCACGGTACTCTGCGAGCAGAGGAAAGGCATCATTCGAATTGAAGTCCTGCCGTCATCAAGTCTGCCGGTGGACTTGCACTGCATCGACAAGCGCCTCGAACTGCAAGAGACAGCTTCGCCCGAAGAGCTCGGATGCAGCTGTCATAAACTCCTGAAGCCACGAAGGATCTCGCTGCTCTCCCTCTCCTGTACACACGCAGTGTCCCCGATGAAGGAGTCGGGGCCGTAGTAAGCAGTGTTCACCTGTCCAGTGGTCCGAGGGTTTCTTGCGAACAAAACTGGCACCAATGCTCCGAACTCGCCTCTGTACCCTGGGCTGAGACATGCTTTACACGGTCTTGTTTCAGCCCGGTGTAGAGGGCGTGGTCTCGGATTGTGAGCCTTTCCGCATCAATGGCATGCCAAACTCTACTGGGTATTGCAATCGATGCCTAGAAGAAAGCAGGATGAATCTTGGCCACTGGCTTTGCGGAGTTTCCGTTTGCATCACTGCAGCCAGCATCGATAATGACAGGGATCACTCTGAATGGATCAAAACCGCCGCCTGCCGACCCACTTTCGATCACGTCGGCGAGTACAGCTGGTAAAGCAGTGCCAGTAGAAAATCTAAGCCGTCGGCACACGGTGTATAGATCCTTATCAGCAATCAATTGGGCTGGTCCAACAGCAGGGTTTGCGCTGATTTACTTAGTTGAAGGGCGGAACGCGGGAAAGCAAACGGATTCAGCTTCTGGGTGCCAGCATCCATGGCCTGTCTCAGCGACTGAGAGTTGCGAGCGGGAAACAGTATCGGCCGCTCCGCATCCTGTTTCCTATCATTCCATGTTGCTGCACGGCCCATGCGAAAAGTCTGACAGGAAGCTTGCGCAGCACTATTCTAAGTCCAATGTTGGTCTTGATCCGTGAGATAAACCCCCCTTCTTCGACCTTCGTTCCCGTGTCCATGCCGATTGCATCCTGGGGTCCAATTTGCCGATTGGGATTCCCATCCCCCATGCGCCCAAATCACCGAGGCCAAGAATGCGACCGCCGTCCGAGAAGACCTGGGACATATAGATATCTACAGTGTACAGCTGTTTGCAGCCCACGACGCGAGGCCCTCAGAGCCATGGACAATGCACTGGCACTGCGGCTTGCCGCTGGAGTCTTTGGGCAAATGTGCCTCCGCATACCTCCAGTCTCAAGCGAAGAGAGGCCCATGCAAACATCAGCACCCTTAGAACCATAATCAAAATAATCGTTTCAAACTCGCTTGGAGTTCATGATACCGAAGAACACTATTTAAAGCAAAAAGCCTTTTGCCCCTTGTCCTGCACTGCTCCTCCAAGTTACTCTCGAAGGACTGCTTTGACATTTCCGCGGTCAGATAGGGACACATAGCCTTGGCACTGCAACGGTTTCGGGTTGGGTTGCTCGTCGAAGGCGAAAGGGTCATCAGGTATGTCAGAAAGATGTAGCAGATTTCCCAGATCCGTTGTACCGCTTCTCTCGCTCTGCAAGTCCGAGCCACAGCCGCGAGGCAAGAACGGCAGGGTCCCGAATTTTTGGCAGGCCTGCACGAAAAGCGCTAAGGCTAAGGGGGCTTCTCTCAGCACTCAGGGCCCTTCTTCGCCTCGCCCACTGTGGGGGTGTAGACCATGGGCATGAGGAAGGCTGGCTCGGCAAGCAGAGTCTGGTAGAACAAGTTGGGATCCTTGCATCGCGCCCCAAGCCCCATAACTCGTCTTGAAACTCAGAATCGGGGTCCTTGTGGTGCAGCATGCGAAGGTACGCGTAAGACCAGAGATTGTGGCCGAGGCTTGCAAACCCTCGGACCTCCGTCAGAGCCTGGCGCCCCGGCACAACTACTCCCCAACAGCCACTCTGGGGGATGGGAGTGGCCTCCTGCACCGTACGGGCGGTGCAGGCGCGGTCCAAGATTTGTCTGACTTGGGACAAGCTGGCCTGCTCAAGCGCTTTCGTGCACTAAAGCCGGAGTCATAGAGAGGTCCACCACCTGGTCGTTCCACGCTGCTGCGCCCAGTTTCGCCACCGATTTCGGAAGCGAGAGCACGCGGCCTGCGCGCCCAAGCGCTCGGGCAAAAAAACGAGGACTGCATTGCTTGTCCTGATAAATCGATAGGGGTTGTTGGTGTTCCCGCCATCGCTGTCAAAGACCTGGAAATGGGTGTGCCAGCTGCCCGATGCAGTCACAGGACACAAACACAGCGCAATGCACATCCCGCCTCTTGCGCTTCACAGTGATAGATCTAGCAAGTTCTCGAGCCAAATGCTGGCCGGTGCGGCACGAAGGTGGTCATACCGCGTCTCACACCTGTACTTGGCCACACAGCTTGCAAGAGTCAAGTATCACACGAGCAGCTGAGGGTCTCACACGGCGAGGCGCACGGACTCGGCCGGTGAAGGTGTGCATGCAGTTGAGAAAGAGGCGGAACAAGCAGCCGTCATCCGGCATCCTCCGAGGGCCCTGCTACTGCCGATCTCAGATCGTCGTTGATCTGCCCCACGCCTCTGTCAGACTGCGACTTTGGCCCTGCAAGTTCGCTGCGTCGCCCGACGAAGCCTTTCAATCTGGCATTCGACCTATGTACGAGCACTATCTCATTTACCAATGCGCGTCCGTGACCGGTCTTCGCGTCAGAGAAGCGCTCGAAGTCTCGATTGTCACTTGCTAAGCAAGGCCAGCTCGAGAGCAAACGAGCCGTGAGGCATTTACAGAAAATCCACTATACATCTGTACTAAGTGTATGTATTATACATAGCATAATTTACCAGACAATATAGCTAAATGATATACTCAGTATTGCTACATGACTTACACAACATCACAGACCACTGGATTTGATCATCCTCTGCACCAGGCGGAGTGCTTGCTGGTGGGGCAACTCCTGGCAACGTTAAGATCAGGGCTTCTGCGTTTATCATCGCCGGTGCGCTGCAAGCTCTCACAATGACCATCCTCCAACTCTGGGAAGGACGCTTCGGCCAACCGGTGGAGAAGAGCTTCCAGGGTTGGGCTACCTTCAAGTACAAGGAGCATGAAGCGATCGCACACGAACTCTACTAAGCAAGTTGCTGCCAACTACTGGAAAATCACACGGTGCCTTCCGTCATCCGGCAGCCTATGATTTCAATTCTTCGTATACCGTAGCCTCGTGGCCAAGCACCGCACCGTTTGCTGGGCCGAACCGCAAAACATTGGAGCCACTTCAGCACCGAGTGCTTTCGAGCGTCTTTTCTTCAGTCCAAAGCAGTCAGGGCAGGGGTTGCCCACCTCGAAGCGCAAGATTCCTCAGGCAGGTGCGAAGTGCTGGAAAGCCTTAGCACTGCTCCGAAATAAGGCTGAGATTCTGGTGGGATCTTCCCAACCAGGCAACTCTGTCCAGCCGTTGAAGTCGGCATTGTGCTGTCTGCGTCCCCGCTCCACAAAAACACCTGCATCATCCTCGGTGTGTGCGTCTGTCTTCTCTGTCGAACAGGCAGACCACGGTCGATGGTGGTACCATACCACAGGTCATATCAACATCTGAACATCTATATACATCCCGCTGCTGATGCTGCTGTTGGCAGGGTGACTCATCGCCTCGAACCACTGCCAGCGAGGCACTGTGCCCTCGAGGCCCTCGTCTTGAAGCAACGACAGGATTCGCAGCGTGTTTCGAGAGCCATAGTCTCCTCCAGCTGAGTACAAGCTGTTACAAACTCCCCGACTGTTAAACCAAGAAAGCTCATTAAGCAAGCACTTTTCACGGCCTGTTTCACACCAAGTGGCCCCACCACTTCACCCGAACCTCGTGGACCACGCTGGCCTCAAGCCCGGAGTCTTCCAAGAGGCCCAAGGTAAATCTTTCCGACTCTCACAATTGGAACAATCCGGGCGAGGCTTTAGGGAAGTCTTGCGGAGTGTGCGAGTGAAGGTGACAACTGCTGAATAATGGGTGCATCTGCCAAAAACTCAGACACAACCGGGCCTGCTCCAAGTCAATTTCCAACCACTGAGGCTCCGAAGCGTCAGCCGGAAACCTCTCAACACAGGAGATCAACGCAACAGTTCACTTGCGCGAAGAAAAACCCAGAACAGCACATGCGCACATGCGCGTCCGATCTATATATATATATACACACACACACAGAGGCAAACCCTCGCGATTAGTGCGAACTTTCCTGGCCAGCTGCCACTCCGAGTCGGTTCCGTCGACCACGAAGCGCGCACGGTCTTCGTCCACACTTGCCCGGACAGGTCGGGAACGCGACAGGTTTCGCGTGCCACCTGGCTGCACTGAGTCTTGCGTGCTTGGCGAAGGTGCAGATAAGTGCAACTGCTTTCCACGGGTCGCCTGGCCAAGCTGCAGCTGCTTCGGCAGCCTCGGAAAAAGAGCAAAGTGCGGTGCTCGTCGGAGTCACCGTGCCCGGCCTCTGTGCGGCTCTGCAGCGCTGCCAGAGGGAACGGCCGCGTCTCAGTGTGCCCAGAATGCTAGAAATACTCGTGCGATCACTCCAATGCGAAAAGTCGGGCCAGTGCCTTGAGCCAGGCTGCCCAAGCCTTGGGAAATCTTGGGAAAGCATGGAGATCCCGTTTCCTGCCCTCTTTTCGCTCTCTTCTGCAGCTGCGCGGCGCTCAAATCCCAGGGGCACTGCGCTACTGCCTCCCGAACGGCAGCAACGTAGAATTATGATGTGTAAGTGTGTGTGTATATATATATATATATATATGTTTATTAATCAACATGTAGTCTGTAATCTGTAGCCTATAGCTATAGCCTATCAACTACAAATCTAGAACCTATGAACAAGAGTGTGTCCACAAGTCCGGGCTGACCTCGGCTCGAAGCTCGAAGGCTTCCCTCCCGAGCTCGGGGGCCAGGAGCCTGGGCTGTGGGGGTTCTTAGCCCTGGAGCCCGGTTGCTTTCGGACTTTCAGGCTTTCGGGTTCTATGTTGTGCTCGGACTTTCAAGATGTAGGGTTCTATGTTGTGATTTAGTTGTCGGTTTTTATTCTGCTCCCTGCAAGGCTTTCCAGGGTGAACGCTCTCGCAACTCGGACTGGTGAATGGTGTGTTTCGACTGGCACACTCGCACAGATCCCAGCCAAGGGTTTGGTTTTTTGTTCACACCTGCGTCGCTGACTAGGGGTTTGGTTTAGGGTTCAGTGTTCTGGAGGTATATGTGGGGGTTTCCGAAAATAGGGGACCCTAATATAGTACCCTAAATAATAGGATCCCTATTATAAGGACCCCAAAATACGGTACCCTCTATTTTCTGAAACTCCCATGTAGGGTTTAGGGGTCCTTCACCAAAAAATGCGCATGTTGTTGGCTTCACGGCTGCCAGGCAGCTGGGATGCCAGCTGCAGGGCCTCGCCAGTGAGCCAAGCGCTTGAACAAGATCGCTTGACAGAATACAAGACATTACCAAAAAAATGACAGACCATAACAAAACAAGTGTAACCTATAATCTCGAATATAAATATGAATATATAAATATATACTATATACTATATACTATAATCTAGACTGTATGTTATATACTACTATATACTATATCCATATGCCAGCGCCTGGCTGCGGCGGAAGCCCTCCCAATCATGCAGCGCTCGCTCGAAGACCTGAGAGCATCACAGGACACAGCCGCCGTGGCCGCCTGCTGTACAGACAGAGGGTTTTGACACTCGCGCTCGGACAAAGCCTGGCAAGGTCTGTAGCGATACTGGTCCAACGATAAAAAAACAGAAGAACCCACAGTAGGCATCACTGAGGACTGCGTTGTCAGGCAGGGTTTACACTCTCACAAATCGGACAAGCCAGGCGAGGACTCATAGATGCAGCAGTCGGCTTGACACATTGATGTTGGGTCAGGCAGGGTTTCGGCGCTGACACTCGGACAATCCAGGCGAGGCATACGGTTTCAGGTCATCAAAGGCGTCAGGCAGGGTTTAGGGTTTAGGAAAACATATACAAGAAATCTATCTAGTTTGTGGCTCATTCATGACCATCGGCAATATTACATAGATCGTGGTAGTGTAAAGTGAATTTGAATATGAACATATCTATGCTATAGATATATAAATATATATATATATGTGTGTGTGTGTGTGTATAAATATATGTGAATAACTTGTATTACCTGTAACCTATAATCCAAGCTGAGGTGCTGGAATGACGCCAGCTTCTCGGGCGAGCTCGCCTAGACGCTCGCAAGTTTTGGGCCCTGTATAACGTGCCAGCGATTGAGTCAATGTGTTTCAGTCCGAACAAGCAGCCGAGATGCCAAGCTCTGCCTGCCAGGTGCGCTGTATGCGGTCCTGGGATAGGCACGGGATGCTTCAAGGACAGGGGCTTTCGTAACCTCCGAACTTCTCTCGCCGCTGGCCAATCTCGACATGATTGACAATGGGTGTTCGTGGCCACCTACGGCTACGGCGGCTTATGACTTTATGCATTATTCTAACAGGGAATCGGTTGCCCAACAGCGTCAAGAGGCATGCATGAACGATTGGTTCCACCCTCCTCGGCTGCTCGCGATACTGATACCACGCTTCAGCGACCCCCCTGCGTGGAGCTCATGTTCACTTGCAATGCTGCCGACATGAAAGCAACTTGCAAGCCTATGCCAAGCAGCCACAATCGTTTTCCAGCTCCCACCTTTGGTTCGGATGTCCCCGAGCAAACTCGCAGGCCCTCTCTCTGTCTCCATCAGCACGGTCCGGCCCGCCTTCCGAATGGACCCCGCCAAATCAGGGCACAGTGGCCCGGTTGGGCCACTGGCATCGCAGGCACCCCGAAAGCCTCACCGCTTGACACTCCTTGCGACTACGCAGGCTGGCACTATCCAGGATCGGCCTGGCAGCAACTGGCACCGAATTTGGAGACTGCCCCGCAAACACCTGCAGTCGACTGGCATGAAACAAACTTCAGGACAGGTGCAAAGACAATTGCGGAATTTCGTCACAATCGAGCTGTTAAGCCCTTTGACAAAATCAAGACCCACGCAGAGCAAGCGACAACCACTGCGCAACCGTTCAGAACCTCCGTACTCCAGGATGACAGGCATCGTGGCAATCTGCCCATCGTAGAATCGTAGGCCGTCTTGAACGCTTACGCCTTTGTCCTGGGGGATGGCATAGTAGAAGTTCGAAATGCACCGCCATTGCCTGCCCAAGCTTCGTTGTAGGGCTTGTACTTGACCATTCGGGCAGATCTCCCAATCGCATCGGGCTGCTGATACTGACGCTCGACATGATCACGCGACCTGCGAAGGGATTATATAATACAGTATACTACAGTATATATTGTATCTTTAAAACTGTGATTATTATACTATATTATAGCATCTTAAAGTATATTATAGCCCCTCCAAAAGGACTGGAATTTCTGGGCTCCGTGCCATGCTAAGTCGGCATCAGAGTGCCAGCTGCCAAGGATGTACCGGAAGTGCCAAGCTCGTAGTTTCTGGAACTCCGAGAAGAGCTTCTTGGTCGCCACATCGCGCCGAAAATTCTGGTATCGTTGCTCCATGTCCTCAGTTGGGTCACAGGTATGTGGCACGCGTGAGAACTCGCACGAAGCTGGTGGCCACGCGACGTCCTGAGGCTTGAACTATTCCTTCTCTGTGGAAGTTCTGGTCGGTCCTTGAAAGTGTCGCCAGTCTCAGAGTCTTTCGCAGACTTGCTTTCGTGGAAATGTCTGCGCCTTTATGCTTTGCCCTGTAGCCTTTCACCATAGCAACCATGCGGCTCGCCCTCCGCATCACAGAGCGCTGCTGCGACGGCAAGTTGCAGCGGCCAACCACCAGAAAGAAGTGTTGGATCTGAGGCCAGCAGCCTCCGGGACAGAGATTTGCGGGAATCAGATGAACAGGGCTTGCATGCCCCGGGAAGACGCTTCTGACATCTTCTGGCCAGGGATGCCTACACAGCATCCGCACGGCGCGCCGCAAGTCTCGAGTGCCCCCGGAGAGGAGGAGAGCCTCAATAGCCTTCAACCGAAGGATCGGTTTGCAGTCGGAATGTTCTGCTTGGCTTCGCGCTGCCGCTAGTGAGTTAGAGTATATCAAAGTCTATCATAGTATATCACCGTATACTATAGCTCTTATGTAATCGATTAGAGTATCTTAGAACTGTTTATAGTATGGTGCTGATCCCGGGCCCCTGGCCTCATCACACTGCAGCAGCGGACCTAGGGACCCGACTGCCAGCTCACAGCGAGTAACGAAGCAAACTATAATATACTATTATACTACAGCACACGGCACTGTACTAAGTTACCTTAATATACGTATTTGTACTTATATATATATATATATATATGTATATATATCCACAACATGCTAGATAATATTTTATACTATACGAAACTACAACATACTATAACATACTATAATACTTCACTCGGCTCTTTCGGCATCTCAGCAGCTCAGGCTTGGCAGCTCCGGTGGAGCGTGGGCGGGCAGGGGCCGGCCTTGGAGGTGGAGGTGCGATTGAAAGCCGGAGAAGGCTCTCTACTTATGCCATGAAAACCAGAATATACATTTGATAATATACTATGATATACTGCAGTATGCTACCTTATAGACTATAGTGTAGAATGCCAAGATGCCCATACCTCCCAAACATGGCATCCTTAGCGACTGACTCGGCAATTTCGGACGCGAGGCTGAGGACTTGCAACGACTTCCACAACCATCTTCCTGAACTCTGAATATAGGGGCCGTAACAACAACAGTAATAACAATAACAATAAGAAATTAGTACTGTTGCTACGCTATACTTACGATGCTTCTAAATAGTACTAATAATGATAAGAAAGCATAATGATTGGCATTATCATTCTTATTCGTCGGTAAATGCCCATGGGATATTGTTGCATATTTTCAATGCTGGCAATATTGTTCAGATTCCTTGAGAATATGCGCGGCTTGTGCAGGCAAGCGGCACCTGCAGAAACTCAAGCCACGTGCCTCCACCTTGTCCCTCGTTGGCAGCTGGAGCGCCCCATTCCTGCCAAAAAAGAGCCTACCCCAAACCCCCTTGAAGCTGGGATCAAGCCAGCGAATCCGCCCACGCTCTGAAGCTCCCCGAAACCCCCTAAACCTTACACCTTTTGTTTTAAACCCTTAGAAACCCGGAGGATTTCGATCCTCGGAGCCAAGCTGAGACAGCAGAGACCACCGCAAGACCGCGGCTTGCCTGGGCCCACTGGCAGGCTGAGATTGTATATGAACTAAAAAAGGTTAGTCATCATATTAAATAACGTATGCATGTACACCTTTATACACACCTTCAGCTGTACAGGTGCATACGGAAATATAGATATAGGTATAGAGGTATAGAGATTTGGAGAGAAAACTATTTTTGCCTCTCAGCTTGCCGGGGTCGAAGGCGTCATACTAGTAAATTCACATGCATGGCACTTGCCGTGGCCAGCAAGTAAAGTTCACTCCCTCAGAGTCAGGACATCTGTAGCCCAGTGTCCACCGCAAAACTGTGCCCCTGTCTGAGGCGCGAGCAGCTGGCGATCGCAGGGCAGATCGCTGTGCCTCGAGAAGCCAAGATAACGGGCAGACAGAATGTGTGCAAACATATATATATATATTTACATGTGTGTGTGTGTGCACGTTTATGGATGCATGTATGCAGTATGTATCTAACTTCACATACATCTTTCTATATTCTGGTTTGTTTATGTGTTGATGCATCATATCTTTGTTTAACGGTTTTCATACTTACTTAAATCAATGTGTAGGTTTTATGCTCAATTCTATTCTTTTGCTCTATACTAATCTATGCCGTTATATGACATTTTCCTATTACATTATATGGTGTTGCAAGATTTTGTATGATATTATATTACATGGCACGGTATGATACGGTTTCATGTTCTACTACATCTTAACATACGATACTAAAGTAGTCTGTTACACTATCTCGCTTTATACTAATATGCATGTGTATATATAAAGTATGTGTATACATATATATATATATATGTATGTATACATGTATGTACGATATATATATATATATATATATCTCTCTCTCTCTTTCTTTCGCCAGGGCTAGGGGTAAGGAGGGCAAGCCCCCCTCACCCGCGCGCGTTAGCGCCCCCGACTTGTGGGGAGCGAGCTATTAGTTCGGCAAACTCCATGAAGGCAAGGGGGAGCAGTCAAAGAAAGATGCGCTATCGGCAAACACAAACCAGCACATTGATTCGTCCTAAAGGGCTCCTCCCCTAGGCCACTCA